TGCACTTGATGAAGTTAACAGCAAAATGAAGAACACATGAGAATCAAAGTGTTTTAAGATATAACAGAAGTGAATAAACCTGAGGTAAAGAACAACGATGACAACAAAAAACTAATAAATGTAGAGAGAGCCAAAGAAACTGTGAGAATAACAAAAGGTCAGAAAAATTAATAATTTAAGTCTAAAAATGAGAGCAAGTGTCAGAAAAACATACTTGGGGGGGAAGCTGATTAAAAAAAATAGAAAAATTCCATTAAAAATACAATCAAATTTTCACACAAGGTGAAACAGAAAATCTGATTAGTGGCATATCTTTAAAGGTATTGAATACCTCCAAGATTCAGGCCAAGAGAGCAGCACTGGTGAATGCTATCAAATACTTAGGAAGCAATTACACCAATCTGGCACACAGTCAGTCTTTTACAGTAAGGACAGATGTCTTCTCCATTCATTTTAAGAAGCCAGCACTAACACTAACGCCCTAATCTTACAAAATTGCTAATAAACAAATTGTAATTCATGAAAATAGAAGTGATGAATACAACACAATATAAAAAGTATATCACCATTAAGTAATTTTTAACTCAGGAACACAAAGAAACTTCAATTTAGAAAAATAAATATTTAAAATTTACTACATAAAAAATGAAAAGAAGCAACAGCCATTTTCATTTCAACATTCAGAAAAAGCATTTTATAAAACTCAACACCTATTCAGGATAAAAATCCTCAGCAACATTGCAACTTAACTTCTTATAATAAATAGCATCCATAAAAACCTATGCATGATTTCAGTTTTAAGGGGAAACTACTACATGTTTTCCTCCTTGACTGGGAAAATGAAATGATTCCAACTCTCAACATTTACATTTAGTATTATACTGGAGATAATAGCCAAAACAGTGTTGTCAGTGCATAAAAATTATAAAAAAAAGTGCATAAAAATTGGAAAGGAAAAAATGTTTTTTGCAGATGTTAAGATTATTCTGTATACAACAAATCCTAAAACAAACCCCTTACTAGAAAAAAATAAATGAATTTGCCAAGAAAACAGTTAATACACAAAAGTTCACATTAGAAATAACACATTTGTGGTAGGAATGCAAACTGGTTAAGTCACTATGGAAGTCAGTCTGGAGATTCCTCAGAAACTTGAATATAACCCTACCATTCAACCCAGCCATCCCACTCCTTGGAATTTACCCAAAGGAATTTAAATTGGCAAATAAAAGAGATATCTGCACCTCAATGTTTACTGCAGCTCAATTCACAATAGCTAAGACCTGGAATCAACGCCAGCGCCCATCAACAGTAGACTGGATAAAGAAATTATGGGATATGTACTCTCCAGAATACTATACAGCAGTAAAAAAAAAATTGATCCAGTTATTTGCAACACAATTGAGGAATCTGGAAAACATCATGCTGAGTGAAATAAGCCAGTCCCAAAGGGACAAATATCATATGTTCTTGCTGATCTGTGACAACTAACAGAGCACCTAAAAGGAAACCTGTAGAAGTGAAAATGATACTATGAGAAACAGTGACTTGATCAGCCCTTCTCCTAACTGTCAAGGAGCAGCTTACTATTTTATTCTTTTTAGTATTTTCTTGTAACAACAAATACTATTGGTTGAACTCTTTAATTAACACACAATTATTCTTAGGTGTTTAAATTTAACTGAAAAGTGATCCCTGTTAAAAATAAGAGTGGGAATAAGAGAGAGAGGAGATATACATTTTGGCACATGCTTACTCGGACTTAACCCTAAGGGTAGAGCTAGAAACGTGCCAGGGCATTCCAAATTCTATTAAGTTGGCATGTACTAATGCCATCTCACTAGTCCAAGTGATCAGTTTAAGTTCATAATTGATCATAGTGATAGGTCTAAGAGTCAAAGGGATCACATAAACAAGACTAGTGTCTGCTAATACTAACTGATAGAATTAAAAAGGAGAGAACAATCCAACATGGGAAGCAGGATACACAGCAGACCCATAGAATGGCAGATGTCCTGAACAGCACTCGGGCCTCAAAATCAGCCCTTAAAGGGATTTGGATCTGGCTAAAAACCCCATGAGAGTTTCTCAAGCATGGAAAGCCAAGACACTCTCACAAAAAAAAAAAAAAAAAAAAAAGAGAGAGAGATCTCTGTGAGTGATATCCCAGCAGAAAGAAGGGGCCAACAAAGAAGGAGGTAACTTTCTCTGAAGGGAGGAGAGAACTTCCACTTTGATTATGGCCTTATCTAAATAAGGTCAGAGTTTGTGAACTCAAGAGGCTTCCATAGCCTTGGCAGCTCATGACAAGAGCCTTGGGTGATTACTGACATCATAAATAGAGTGTCAATTGTTAAATTGACAACAGGTGTCACTGTGCACTTACTATCCATGTAGGATCTGTCCTCAATGTGTTGTACTATGCAAATTAACGGTAAAGCTATCATTCAAACAGTATTTTATACTTTGTGTTTCTGTGTAGGTGTAAACTGTTGAAATCTTTACCTAGTATATACTAAGTTGATCTTCTGTATACAAAGGTAATTAAAAACGAATCTTAATGAAGAATGGGATGGGAGAGGGAGTAGGAGATGGAATGGTTGGTGGGAGAGAGGTTAATGGGGGAAAAACCACTATAATCCAAAAGTTGTAGTTCTGAAATTTATATTCTTAAATAAAAGTTTAAAAAAAAGAAATAAAACATTGGAAAACAAAAATTTAAAAACATTTAATTTACAAAAGTGCCAAAACACAGAGAATATGTAGGGATAAGTTTAACAAAAGGCATACAAGACCTTTACCCTGAAAAGTACAAAACATTGGTGACAGAAATTAGAGGAGATTTAACCAACTAGAGAGAAATACCATATGCAGTTAATAGCAGACTCAGTTTTCTAAAGATTTCAAATCCTCCCAATGTAATTGCAGTCATAATCCTAGCAGATTCTTTTGTGGAAGGACTCCATTACTTAACTTAATGTCTTACAAAATATTCTACAGTAATGTAGGCAAGGTGGTATTGGCATAGAAAGCCATAAAAAAATGGCATCTTTCCAGTTTCAAAAGTTACACTAATACATTGAGGGAACTTAGGTTTAGAAGCTAGGATGAATTTATAATTCATTGGTTAAAAACTCTGCAGCCAGGATGTAAGACAATGAAGCTAATTAATTTCAAACAATAGTAATCACTTGACAGGTGAAATCTCCTGAAAAGTACTAATATGTGAGCAAGAAATGGTCACTAAAATGTTACTGTATTTATAACTATAGAACTTGTGGCAAGTCTTTATCTGAGGAAAGTAGGAAACCCAGCATTTTACGCGAGCAGACAGTTATTAAATAACATAACTTCCAGATCTTGATTTTCTCAAAAACTCAAAGTAGTCTTAGAAACTCTTCTTTACTCCATTGAGAATATGGATGTCATCTATCTTTTAAATATTGTTAATAATTTTCTCTGCTTAAAAGCATGGGAAAATAGAAGAGGAAAACAATGAGTTTCATATAATAGATAAGAATTTTAAACATATATGAAATAAAATAACCCAAATTGAAAAGGAAAAAATAAATAAATATAATCAAAAACAAAACAAAAAGCAATAGAACAGAATAGAAAGTTCAGAAATATACCCACCATTTATATGGTCAGCTGTTTTTCCCCAAAGATGCCAAAACAAGCCATAGGAAAAAAAAATATCTTTCAACAAATAGTGCAGGAAAAACTGGATACTCATATGGGAGCATATGAGAGTGGGAGGGGTGAACTTGACCCCCTACCTCACACCATAAACAAAAACGAATTTGAGATATAGCACAATCTTAAAAATAAAGGCTTCTTAAAATGATAAAACTTTTAGAGAAAACATAGGAAAATATAATATATAAATGACTCAAATATTTCCTTGGGATTGGTCAAGATTTTTAGTTCACAAATGGCAATAACCATAAAAGAAAAATCTGATACATTTGAAATTATAAAATTTACAACTTCTACTTTTCGCAGGACTCCTTACAGAAACAACAGGCAAACAGGAGGCAGGCCAAATCTTCACAAAATATACATATAACAAATGACTTGATTCTAGGATATATAAAAAGGTCTAACAACCTAATGATAAAAGACACACAATCCATTTAGAAACAGGCAAAAGATCTGAACTTCACAACAGACAAGATATTTGAATACCCAATAAGTATAAGACAAATTACACAAAATCATTAATCATTAGGGAAATAAAAATAAGCATAAGAAATTACCAAAAATTCAAATAACTAAAACAAAACAGACATGACCAAATACTTATGAATATATGAAAACAACCACAACTTGGACACAGTGTTTGTAGAAAAATTACAAGGCATATTACATTGGAAAAAAAAAGTATGGGAACTCCTGTAAAACTAAATACCAAGCAATGTCAATACTAGGAATTTACTCAAAAGAAATGAAAATATATAACCACAAAATGCCTTGTACAAAAATATCCCCGGCAATTTAATTTTCAATAACTGACAATTGCTGAGGAAAATAGATCAATAAATTGTGATATAGTCTGGTAATGGACTATTATTCATACAACAGTATGCATGGACCACATATATAGACGATTGAAAAAAGACAAGACTTAAATACAATTGAAATTGATATTTTTCAACATTTTATGTGCAAAGCACTGTGCTAAGTATTTAACATGCATAATCTGTCTTTTTAACCATCCAATTTCGTATCATAAATGAAGAAATTGAAGTAGAAAGAAGTCAGGCCCCAAGTCACTCTGCCAGTATAATCATTATATGTTTTTTAGGGTTCTATAACTTATACTAAAGTCAAAGACAAGAAAAAATCACTAAATTAATTTTAATTAACTTTAAAAGTACAGTGTGGAGAGGGGACAAGAGAGTAGACAACTCTTAAAATATCAAGCAAAACATAAACTAAACGTCTGTTCCCTTAAGGATTAAAGTCAACACACTTGCGTGTAGACCTCGCTGCCTTACCTTAGGGAACTGTTTTACAGGAATTAACACTTTCTGTCCCAGCTTCATGTTCTTATTAATCACCACATCAATGTACTTTTCTTCATCCTTGCCTTCTCCTTTTTGAAACTTTTCTATTTCTGTGGAGGCAAAAAGATAACCATGAGTAGATGACTCGGGACTGTAAAGTCTGGAACATCTGGTTAGCTCTGTGTGGCAGGAAATCAAACACAGACACACAGATTACTAAATTGCTACGCATTTTTAAGCGACACATTTTCTGTTTTACCATTGATTCTTCAGAAATGGGAAAAAATACATGTATCATGATTCTACGAAGTCAAACCTCAGCTGTGTATGCTTAGAGTGGGGAGTACTGGACTAGATAACAACCACAAATGCAAAAAAGAGTTCCCCAGGGGGCAGAGGTTGTGGAAAGCATGTTAAGCCAGCAACTGCTATGCCAACATCCCATACTGGAGTGCCCTGCTGATTCAAGTCCTGGGTGCTCCACTCCAATTAAGCTTCTTGTAATGCTCTGGGAAGGCAGCAGAGGATAGCCAAAGTGTGTGGACACCTGTCACACATGTGCAAGACTACGACGAAGTTACTGGCTTCAGTCTAGCACAAGCCTGGCTGTTGAGGACATCTGGGGCATGAACCAGTGGGTGGACGATATTTATCTATCTATCTGTCTCTCTCTCTGTTGCTCTGCCTTTCAAATATAATTAAATGAAAGAGAGAGAGAGAAAAAAGGAAAAAGGGAAGGGGCGGGGCCGGGAGGGAAGAGGGAGGGAGGGAGGGAAGAAAAAGGAAGGGGAAGGGGAAGAGGGAGGGGAGGGGAGGGGAGGGGAGGGGAGGGGAGGGAAGGAAAGAAAGAAAGAAAGAAAGAGAGAAAGAGAGAAAGAAAGAGAGAAAGAGAGAAAGAGAGAGAGAGAGAAAGGGGAGGAGGAGGGGGAGGAGAGGGGAGGGGAGGGGAGGGAAAGGAGGTAGGAAGAGAGGGAGGGAGGGAGGGAGGCAGGCAGGCAGGGAGGGAGGGAGGGAGGGAAAGTAAGTAAGTTAGTTCATTCTTTGAAGCCTTCTGGACTCCAAGAGAAAGACTGATTACATAATGAAAAAAAGGCAGCAACCACTGACACCCCTTTTTAGCAATCTTACCTAAGGCTCATACAAGCAAAAAGTGACTCTAATACAGCATTAAAAGCCTTGAATACCTAGAATACCTTCCATCAGCCTTCTTTCCCAGGCAAATTGTGCCACCTTGCACATGACCCCTATCAACAACACACCAATGTCTTTGCTTTGTCTGTGAATTGTCTCGGTCCTCGATGGGATAACAGGAATAGGAGAATCAATCACTCCCAACTTGATACTCAACAAAGCACAAGTAGCACAACTCTACAACTACTCAAAAGAAAAAACAACAAATGTGTTAGCTTTCATACCAAAACGTATATTCCTATGAGGCAAAATCTCTTATTCAACAAACATCTACTACTAAGTACCCACACATTATGTGCAAGCTCCAAATCCCAAAAAATACTAAAATTATGCCTCATTCATCTTATGTCCTACGGCATAGGTGTTTGAATGAATGTTGAGTAAATGAGTATATGGACTGTTATCTCAAACATCAAGTGCAAAATATCTATGTTCCAAGAAGAATAATTATCAGCAAGTACAAAGTGCTAAAGATGGCATCAGTTGTACAAATGAATGCATATATTTTGCTTGTACAGCTAGGAATATTTAAGAATCTAACATGTGCCATCCCTGCACCAAGCACCTGTCTTCACACTAAAGCTCTGTTCTTAGGACAAAAAAACAAAAATGGGGGGCAACGTGTGGCACAGTGGATTGAGCCACCACCTGCAATGCCAGTGTCCAATATGGGTGCCAATTGGAGTCCCTTCTACTCCATTTCTGATCCAGCTCCCAGCTAATGCACCTGGGAAAACAGTAGAGGATGCCACCTATGTAGGAGACCTGGATAAAGATCCTGGTCTCAGCCAGGACCAGTTCTGGCAGTTGTGGCCATTGGGGGAATGAACCAAGAGATGGAATACTGATCTCAATCTCCCGCTATCGCTCTCACTCTCGCTCTCGTTCTCTCTCTCTGCCCCCTACGTTCTCTGTAACTCTTTCAAATAAATAAATAATTTTTAAATTAAAAAAGGGGGGATGCTTAGAAAAATAACTTCACAAAAAATGGCAAAGGTAGTATTTTATTCTATTTAAAGATTTATTTTATTTATTTGAAAGATATTGGGCATTGCATAAAATAGTCCCTAACAACATGGTGCCTGGTGGATGATCAGGGGGCGTGTCTGCCACCTCTGGGGTTAAACCCCGTGAGATCGGACCACTTGCAGGGATAGGTCTGATTTATTTCCAGACACGTGGACAGTGCGTGATCCCTATACCTCACTTAAGGTGCCCCTGTGCATGGTCCACCCCTGCTTGCGTGACCTTTTCGCTGAATGGCTCCCCTACTGCGCATGTCCTTCGTAAGCTTTATAAGCCTGTACACTTCCTCAATAAAGCGGTTCTTGCTTCAACAGAACTCACGGGTGCTTGCTGTGGTGTGCCTGGCCGTCGACCTTACCTCTACCATTCGCCTTTTCGGGGAGTGCTTGTACTGCCCCCTGCTGGTCAGGGGACAGTCTCAGGCTTAAGACCCCAACAGAAAGACAGAGTTACAGAGAGAGGTAGAGACAGAGGTCTTCCATCCACTGGTTCACTCCCCAGATAACCGCAACAGCCGGAGCTGCACTGATCTGAAGCCAGGAGCCAGGAGCTTTCTCTGGACCTTCCACGTGGGTGCAGGGGCCCAAGGACTTGGGCCATCTTCTACTGCTATCACAGGCCATAGCAGAAAGCTGGATTGGAAGAACAGCTGGGACTAGAACCCACGCCCATATGGGATGCTGGCACTTCAGGCCAAGGCTTTAACCCGCTGCACCATGGTGCCTGCCCCAGCTAGTATTTTAAATCCCAGGTCTGTCTGTTTCTAAAGACAGCATGCCACTGCAGTCTCTCCCACCACATTTTATGTTTTATTTCACAGAAAAGAATATTCTCATGGTATGTCTGGATAAACAGAAGATGTATTTAAACTGGAAGTATCTAGATTATGGCTTTTGTCACTGGTAAGTAGCCATGGTCCTAAATACCGCTGGAGAACTTTTACTCTGTCGAATTATGTTGTCCCTCAACTTTTACTAAAATATTCTCCATTTAACATAAAGATTTTAGATGAGCAACAAGAAATTGTTACAATTTAAAGGACATGAATGTTGGGGCCAGTGCTGTGGTGTAGTAGGCTAAGCCTGTGATGTCGGCATCCCATATGGGCACTAGTTTCTGTCCCGGCTGCTCCACTTCTGATCCAGCTCCCTGCTAATGGCCTGGCAAAACAACAGAAGATGGCCCAAATGCCCGGGCCCCTGCCACTGATGTGGGAGACTCAGATGAAACTACTGGCTTTGCCCTGGCCCGGCACCTGGACCACTGAGGCCATCTGGAGAGTGCACCAGTGGATCAAAGATCTCTCTCTCTCTCTCTGCCTCCCTTCTTCTCTCCCTCCCTCCCTATCTGGCTTTCAAAATAAATATAACTGAAATAAGCAAATAAATTTACAGCTTATGCCATAGTACACACATGCAGGTTTGCACTAGCTGGACCTTTATTAAGCACTATGCAGCAATGGAAAAAGCCCAACCCCTTTCACCGGGGCCAAATCAACCTGTTTTATATCAGGACCGCTCTATTTGTCTCATGCTTTTGGTCTCTTTCCAACTAGGTAATCCAGAATTGGTCAAAATTTTTACTTTAAATAAAAAGACGGTTCAATCAATAATTTTGTATTTCCTATTTGAGGACTGATGATTAGAAATTGTTTTATGTTTTCAAAAAATGTAATGTACAAAAATGGGAAATTATAAAGATGACCTATAAAATCTTGGGAGAGATGTTTAATATTTATTCCTGTCCCTCACATGGAGTTTCATATTCCCAAACCCTTGCTACCACTCACCTCATCTTTCCTGGTGGAGGGAAGGTACTTGACATCCACTAAGATGGATATGACCCTTTAGTTAGGAATAACAATAGAAGACCAGCCAACAGAGGAGATCCAAATCAGATTTTCAAAGTCAAATGCATAGGGGATTTGACTTTCACTAATCCCCAGATTACATTTGGTATCACACTGCTTAACATACCAATTCCATCTCCAAGCTCAGAAGTAATAAGCAAATGTGTGATTAAGGTTTTAGATAATGTAGGGGATTAAAATGCTATGTTTTTAAACCAAGGACATCAAATTTCTATCAGGTCAGAAATATGGATGATTTCAGCAATAAGTTGTGTTGCTTTTACTTGTTCATTTGCTTTTTTTTTTTTTTTTTGCCTTGGTTTGATGCAGAGATGATTCCTAAGCAACAGTCTTGTCCTCTTTTGAACCCATGAAATACATAAAAAATTTAGTACTAAGCCTCTAAAAAACAAATAATCCTTGGATGTTGAGTTAAATTTCTAATTTAAAAATTCTGGTAGTGTCAACTTTTACTAAAATTGATTAACTTTTCTCATGCATTCAAACATGCCTACTACATAGTATTTTTCCAGTCTTAGCAATTTTATTTCCAGAAATTTGCCCTACAGATATGCTAGGATCAATGTAAAATATTAATATAGAGTTCTCTACTATAGCATTGTCATTAACAGCAAAACACCAGAAACTGCCTAAATATCTATCAAAAAGGGATTGGTTATGAAGTAGGCAGGCATACAGGTTAAAATCCATTAGGTTTGTGAGCTGGAAGACCACGCCTTCGCCATGCCACTGTGTGACCTCACAAACTACCTGATACCTTTGCCAAGTCCCATGTGACCTCATGCCCCTACCTGGCCACACCTGAGTGCCCACCAGCCAATCAGGTTAATTAACCATTCCCCTTTGGAAGTGGATTAAAAGCCTAGGACTTAGTGTGTCCCCCCTTCTCTTCTTTGCCCTGGCCTCTTGCCAGAAGGGGGCTTGCTGTAGCCCTGTGCCTCCAAGGCGCGCCTTCGGGCCACCCGCCCTAGGCTTCTTGGCCTAGATGGTCTTCCACGTGGCTGGTTCCTGGTGCTCGTGGCT